GCTCAATGGTAAAGTGCCCTTGGGTTTAATCCCTAGTACTTAAAAATAAAATAATCTGGCAGTTGGGTCCAATACCAGGTGGGAGATTGCTGCCAGAATCCTAGCCAAGCCCAAAAGGTGATGGCCTGAGGATGGAAGTGGACAGACTTGACATATATTGGTGTAATTTAAGCGAAGTCTAATGTAGTGGTTGAGGAAAGAGAGGAATTAAAGGTGATACTCTGGCTTCTGTCTTAAGCAACTGGGTGAATGGTGGTGAGAACAGGACATCTGGGAAAGAGCGATAGAAGAAATAGGGGTGGTGGATGCAGTCAAGATTATACAAGTATTGGGGTTGGGAGAGTGGCTCAGTAATAGAGTACATGTTTAGCACGTGCAGGGCCCTCCTCCCAAAATAAGAACTATTAAAAGATTATGGAAGTATAGTGAGAGGGCCTGGCATTAGTTTGCGATAGTAAAGCAAAAAAGGGCAGRGTTTAAAATGATACTTAAGTTTTCAGCCTGAGTGTATGTTGGATTTATTAGCAGAAATAGTAAAAGTTCTGGAAAGTTGAATTTGAGTGCTTCTACATCGTCAGTCACAAATTGTTGAGTCCAGTTGAATTTAAAGGCCTGTGTGGAGCTCACTRGGAATCTATTGGGATTTTGAATCCAGAGCACAGAATATAGACTAAGATGGAGTTAGAGTTAGGGTCACATTTGTCAAGGAGAATAAAGGAGTTAGTGTAGGACAAACAACTTGATATTTAGAGCCAATTCTTACTACTTTCCCTGTGGATGTTTTTAATAATCTTTAAGTGATGGGAAGAAGAAAAGAGAATGTTGGGAAGGAGGAATCAGAATGTTAGGATGACCAGGAAATTATCATGTCAAAGAAGTTTTGGGTGGATGTGATCAGAATTTTTTTTTTATTTTTTATTTTTAGTTTTCAGTGGACACAAAATCTTTATTTTTATGTGGTGCTGAGGATCGAACCGAGCACCCTGCGCATGCCAGGCGAGTGCACTACTGCTTGAGCCACATCCCCAGCCCGTGATCAGAATTTTTGGTGTGATGATTTATAAAGGATTGCTCATCCATTTCAATTGTCTTTAGTCATCCCTTTTTCTTAAGTTTTTGGAACCACTTGGACCATAATTATATATTGTTATATCTAATAGTAAGAAGTACTGGGAGGACTGGGGATATAGCTCAGTTGGTAGAGTGCCTGCCTTGCATGCTCACTGCCCTGGGTTCAATCCTCAAATCCCCAGCACCACCAAAAAAAAAAAAAAAGAAAAGAAAAGAAAAGAAGAACTGGGGCTGGGGGATATAGCTCAGTTGGTAGAGTGCTCACCTCACATGCACAAGGCCCTGGGTTCAATCTCCAGCACCAAAAAACAAAACAAAAAAAAGAAGTATGAATTTATAAAGCACTTTATAGTTTACAAAGAGATTTAATGATCTCATCGGATTCTCATAACTTCCCTGTGAGGTAGTTGTTGTCCCTACTTAGTAAATGAGAAATTGTGGCTTCTGAGATAGTAATTTGCCTAAGAAACAGAACTTGAGCTGCAGTCCTGGTCTTTGATAATCTTGTTTGCCTAATTAGATTGTAGGTTTCTTGAGGTCTGAGTCTAATCAGTTATTTCTTTTTGTCCAGCACCTAGCTCAGTGCTGGGCAAAAATATAGGTGTTCAACTAGAGTGAAGCCTGGAAATGGTCAAAAMACGAAAAAAAATAAAAATAAAAATCTGAGAAAGTAAATAACAGTTTTGTTTGGGGGTAAATAAAGAATAATTTGCCCTCTCTCCCTTCTGCCCTCTAGCGCCCTCACAAAGCCAATGCTGAGGAGATGACCAAGTACCACAGTGATGACTACATCAAATTCTTGCGCTCCATTCGTCCAGATAACATGTCTGAGTATAGCAAGCAGATGCAGAGATGTAAGTCCATTCTGTTCCTTCCCATTCTCAGGCCCCCAGTCAGATCTCACTTTCCATTAGAGAGGCCTGCCCTACCTTCCTTGCACTTCCCATTCCACTGACGTCTGACATCCCTTACCCCTCAAGGGTACCCAAGTACTTCTTTTTTCTCAGGTCTGGTTTTCCTTATTTCCTAATTATAAATAATAGATGTTGCATTTTTTCCCAATTAGGTTTATAACACTCTGTCCCAAGAGTACTATAATTGTAATGGGAAAAAGCAAAGAGCTGGGAAGTGGACAATAGACATAGGGCCCAGGTCTAACTCTTTAACTGTCCGAACAAGTCACTTCCCCTCAGATTTTTCTTTTGTGAAATGAACTGAACCATGTGATCTCTGATTTCCATCGGCTGTAAATGCTCTGACTTTGTGAGTATTAATTCAGAATTTAGGGACCACTCAGGATAGACTCTAGATGACGTGATCTTGGAGATGAGGTGATTCTACCCTATGCTCTGGGACTTGAAACTCCAGAACAGGTCCCATCTCAAAACAGGTTTGGACCTGTTTGGGAGTTTCAAGTCCTGTTTGGAGGAATTGTGGGGATTACTTTAGCTGTGGGGGGAGAATTGTTGAGTTTGGGACTAAACTGTCACATTTGACGTCTCCCTTGTGTTATTTATTTATTTGCTTTAAAAWAWTTATTTATTTATTTTTATTTAGTTTTTGTTGTTGTTTTGCAGTACCAGGGATTGAACCTAGGGCTTTGCACTTGCTAAGCAAGTGCTCTACCACTGAGCTAAATACCCAAACTCTCCCTTGAGATATTTTAGAAATTATCTTTTTAGCACCTAAGGCCTCACACAATATACTATAACAGTATTGTCCAGAAATTTTGATTAATTTATGACAGTTTGTATTGTGATATCAGGAAATCTGTGGTACTTGTTTATTAATACTGGTCACAAGGTAGCCTGATTGAAAGGAAGAATGTTACTTATTAGTTGTAATAACTGCACAGTGGTAACAATGACAGAACTACAGTGACCTTTCTTGAAGTATTAAATTTCTTTGCTAACCACAACCCCAGAACCTTTTGCCTCCTATAATTGTAATGAGAAAAGCCCTGAGCTGAGAAGTGGACAATAGATATAGGGCCCAGGTCTGGCTCTTAACTGACCAGACAAGTCACTTCCACTCAGATTTTTGAGGTGTTTTGCTTTCATGGTGAGAAAATTGTTTGCTGGACTCTTTAGGGCGAGGGTCAGCAGAATAGATTCTCATTGGAGAAGCAGATTGGTATTGAAGCAAGAAAATGAACTTTTCATGCTTATTTTGAATGCTTGTTCTCCCACTTAGCTATGTGTTTTGAAGTAAGTCTCCTAGTCTCCCTAAAAGTGTTATTTTCCTCTTTAAGAGGAATACAATAGCCAGGTGCAATGGTGCATGCCAGTAATCCTAGTGAGTCAGGAAGCTGAGGCAGGAGGATTACAAGTTCGAGGCCATCTTGGGTAATGTACCAAGACCTGTTTCAAAATAAAAAATAAAGAAGGGCTGGGGGTATAGCTCAATGATAGAGCACTCCTTGGTTCAACCTCTAGAACTACTCCCTCCCCCTCACAAAAATTAGGTCTGGACTGGGTGCAATGGCATGTGCTTGTAATTCCAGCTACTTGTAAGGTGGAGGCAGGAGGAGGATGAGGCCAGCCTGGGCAGCATAAACCCCATCTCAAAAAAATAAAACAAGTTAGGTCTGGGATTTTTCTTTCATTGGAAATAGAAGTGCAAAGGATAAGGTCTGAGTACTTCAGGATACCTTACTGACTTGATTTATAGCATTTTTAGAGGATCAAAATAGGCAAAGACTTGCTGTCACTCAGCGCAGTGCTTTATAATCAAGACAGTAATAGAAATATAAGAGTTATGTTTAAAAACATTCATTAATACCTAATCTATTTAATATTAATATTTATTTATTTCTAATTTCCTCCCCCATCTCTCACAGTATTGACTCCTTTGGTAAGACCAAATAAGACTGTTTTCTTTACTCTTGGCTGGAATGTTATAAACTATAGTCACTTTGATATTTTGAAAGCCYTGATCACAAGTTCTGACCTAATATTTAATTAGTAAAAATGAAAACACAAATCAGTGCAAGTTTTGGAGCAGATAATTAGAACATGGGGCTCATAGTGAAAACATTATGGAAGGGATTTGTGCAGATAAAATATTGTATGTCATTCTTGTTCGTTCTATGGACAAAAACTGAGACCCAGGGAGTTGAAATGATTTGTCTAAGAGTTACATAGCAAAGTGTTAGTAGACAAGAGAATGGAACATCGCACATTCTGGAGTATGGTCAGCCCTCCTTATCCCTGGGTTCTGCATCAGTGGATTCGGCCAATTGTAGATTAAAAAAAAAAAATTGTATTAAACATGCACAAACTCTGTTCTTTTCATTTCCTAAACATTGTATTAAGTGTTATAAATAATCTAAAGATTATTTAAAGTATTTGGGAGGAGCTGGGTGTGGTGGCTCATGCCTGTAATCCCAGGGGCTCTGGAGGCTGAAACAGGAGGGTTACAGGTTCAAAGTTAGCCTCAGCAATGGTRAGGTGTAAGCAACTCAGTGAGACCCTGTGTCTAAATAAAATACAAAGTAGGGCTGGGGATGTGGCTCAGTGRTTGAGAGCCCTTGAGTTTAATCCCCAGCATGTCCCTCCYAAAATTAAATAAAATAAAGTATATGGGAGGAGCTGGATATAGTACATACCTGTAGCCCCATCTACTTGGAAGGCAAGGCAAACGGTTGCTTGAGTCCAGGAGTTCGAGTTCAGCTTTGGCAATTTTAGCAAGATACTGTTTCAAAAAAAAGAAAAAAGTATATGGGAGGACCTGCATAGATTATTCGTGATGCCTTTTTATATGATTATATGATGCCTTTTTATATGAACTTGACTATCCAACAGATTTTGGTATTTGAGGAGGATCCTGAAACCAATCCCCCTAGAGATGGAAGGATGACTGATTATACTTCTAAATGTTATGCATATAAAATATTTTGGACATATAAAACACATAAAAATTCATGAATAGAGCAAGATTCAGACTAGAATATAGCTGTTAAGTGCTGTATTGTTATTCCCCCTGCTCAAAATAAAGTAATGGTTTCTTCTTACCTATACCTTTCTGTTATACCCAAATAGCAGCTAGGGCACTTGGTCACATACATGTTGGTAGAAAAAAATAATAATGAACATCCAGGTACTCAGTGGTCAGCTTAAGAAAATATGATTGATGGATTGAAGTCTCCTGGGTCCCTCTCATTCACATACCCTTTCTCTTCCACTGGCCCCATTCTATGACCATCATCATCGAGGTATAAACTCTATTTGAAAGTCAATGTTTAATCCTATGCATCTCAGGGGCTGGGGATGTGGCTCAAGCGGTAGCGCGCTCGCCTGGCGTTCGTGCGGCCCGGGTTCGATCCTCAGCGCCACATACCAACAAAGATGTTGTGTCTGCCGAGAACTAAAAAATAAAATATTAAAAAAAAAAATTCTCTCTCTCTCTCTTTCTCTCCTCTCTCACTCTCTCTTTAAAAAAAAAAAAAATCCTATGCATCTCTTAAAAAGCATATGCCTTCATTAACTATCTTTCTTTGGTATAAAGCTAACTTAAGAATGAGAAAAGTGTTTATAGTGGATAGAGGGAAATCCTACAGAAATAGCTCAAGTGACAGTCTGCTCTCCCACTTCCCTCCTTTCCACCTTTAACCCAGTGAGCTAAGAATAAATGGGCTGGCTGTTTGAGCCATGTTTTAGATTCGAGCCCTGAAGGGAAATATTTTTTTTTCATATGTAAAACATCCATGCTGTTCTTTGAGGACTTCACATCCCAAATGAGAATATAAACAAAACTTTGGAAACCCAAGTAGGCAGAACCCACTGCAAAGGGGAAAAACAGATGCCAGTGGATAAATAGCCTGCTCGCATGGACCAAAGTTCTTATTGACACAGCCTTTCAGTATTTACCCAGGAAGCCAGGAAGAGCTACCCACTGCTGGCTTCCTTATGTAGCTGCTGTTTCTCAGAGCACCCGAACTTGGGCACCCTCCACGTTAGGGCAGTGCCAGCGTTGGTAACTCTATGGTTATTGGAAATGCTGAGCTTTGGCTATGTCTTGAGATGTTACCATAATCCAAGCTGGCCCCTCCTAACTTCCTCATCCCAGGACTCCTCCTTGCTCTACTTTGGAAACCAATGTTGATCACAGCAGGTGCAGTAAAAAGGCTGGGTCAAGAGAATAAGGATCTAGCCCACTCCTTTAACTTCCTGTATATCATTGATGTCTCAGCAGTTTCCTTTCATGTGAGAGACTTGGAGCCCCAGGGTTTCTCTCTAGCTCTAGGAGTCTACAACCTCCAGGTGTGCTTTCCTTCCTGTCTTTTTCACTTCATTTGCATCAGTGTTTGCATGTGTTTCCACATTATGTACAAGGTTGTACTTTTACCTCTGTAGGCCTGAAATAATTTTACTCACTTGTGGGTGTAGTGAAAAAAGAGCACTGGACTGTGGGAGACAAGACACCTGGATGCTGATTCTGGTTCTGCCACTACCTGATTTTATAACCTTGGGCAAGTCGCTCAACTTTTCTTTGTTTGTTCCTCTGCACAGTGGGGTCAATATCTGTCTTGTCTGGCTCATAGGGTTGTTGTGAGAACCAAATGAGATTGTATATGTGAAAGCACTTGGGAAAAGGCCAGGGTATATCTTCACAGACTTTTAGAACAGACAAACCAAAGCTTGAGGCTTGAACACTGCCTCTACCATTTGTTAGCAGTTCATCTCTCTGAGCTTGTTTCTCCATTTAGAAGATAGGACCAAATCCTACCCCAGAAGATTGTGTGAGGATAAATGTATCAGGCATTTAAAACATTTAACAGTGTCTGGCACATTGTAGGCCCTTAGTGAATGATAGGTAGGCAGGTCTGTGTTCTTCACTTCCTTGTTGGTCAGCTGGAGTGACGTGCAGGAACAAACTCAAGAGTGGAAGAGGGCTGGGGATGTAGCTCAAGAGGTAGCGCTCGTCTGGCACGCGTGCAGCC